GATCACACTAGTCAACAGATCAAGCGGATCATCAAGGAGGTCAAGGATCTAATGAGTGCTGCAAAAGGTAAGTGAGATTGGATTAATATAAATTAGATTTCATTGAAAAAAAAAACAATGGGCAATTAAAATTATTTTTGGAAATAATTTGAAAAATTGTCAGACCTGAGAACAATCGAAACTATTTATGAATGAAACCCAGAATACTATGTATATGTAATACTATTTGTATGGATATGTGAACCTAGTGATCAATCGCTTAGAGTGATATTTGATACTTAACTAATTCGAAAAATCTTAAACCTAGTAAAATCTAAAACCTTATAGCTGGTTCATTAATCTGTCTTCTCCGTGTTACATTTCGTAATGGTCGGGTCATAATTTTGAATCCTGGTCGCTCTAAACAAAAAATAAATTTCGCCAAGTCAGATAATGCATATATCATTTGGAGCTGAAAATACCGCTTAAGCTAGACTCATATGGAGAGGTCTCCTACTTATCCACTTATGTTTGAAAATGAGATTAATAAAACCTAAATTCGATATGCACCGACCTATGATTTTATTCCGATCATGGATAAATACTATTGATGGTTGTAATGAACAAGATTTCCAATTGAATATATTGTTCGAAGTGTCCAGTGTTTTCAAAATGTTTATACCATCCACATGGAAATATTCACCGAAGACCCCATAAACTATATATTTTCCTGATCAAAAAATTCCGTCTATTGCAATCACAATAGACCTCGCAAGATTTGTGGTAAACTTTTGGAACACACAATGCCACTACTCCTAGGATGTTTGATATTAGGATATATCGGTTTAATTCGGAAATTATCTGGTATTTTTTCAACCGAAGGTGTTGCAATTCCCCATTTTTATACCCTACACAACTAAAACTAAAAGTTTGTAACGCCGCGAAATATTGGTCCTAGACCCACCTTTAAGTATATCGATCGTCATATCTCGACTAGCTGAGTCGATCTAGACATGTGTGTCCGTCCGTCCGTCTGTCCATTATAATTTGTAAACACGATACAGGCCACAGTTATGGACCAATCTTCACGGAAAAAATAAGCATGCCTGTTTTGATAAGGATCGGTCAATATTTAGCGGGTCAAATGGACCCCAACTTTTGTGTGAAAAATGACAAATTTTGTATTCTATTGCCTATATAATTGCCCCTGAAGGACATAGACCAGAGAAGTTGATTGTATATCCAAGAGGAGTGGTTGACCTTTAAATTGATACCAATTATATGGTCGTACGTACTCAGATGTGGCAGTTACACTTAAATATTTACAGGTGCTTACGTGCTGAGATATTATTTAGTAACCCATTACCACACTAGAGGGCGGAAATATGGCGCTGGTCGCTCTGAATTTTTCTAGTTGTGGTCAAGGACAACGCCTAGTATTTTCGGCGATGATCAGATAATAATTTTGGGATGTAGTGGACCGAACCCACGGTGAAGGGAATCTGGACAAGTAATTAGAAGGGATGTACTGAATATTATTAATATTCAGTGTAAGGTAGAGGTGCTGTTGACCTCTAATCGGGCAAGAGGGTGCAAATATCACGAAATATTGCCCAGGCTCAAAATAAACATCCGCAGAAAGTTAGAGTTCCGTGGAAGTTGTGTAGGGTATCATATGGTCGGCCCCGTCCGACTATACTGCTCCGCTCACTGGTTTAATATTTGAAAGTTGTTTGTTATCCCACAAAAGTGTATGTAATTTGGAATTCCGGTGAATAAAAAATTCTTCTCAGAAAATATTTATTATAGGTCCAGGATTCTACAAGTATCCCGAAGAAGTCTAGATTATGACCTCGCTTTCGACAAGTACCCATCTTTCGATATTCCTAGCAGAGGTGGATATGAAATTGTTTAAATGTCGACATGGATGTTTTAAGGTTTGTACCTGAAGTCTTACGGATGTGTCTAGGTAAAAAAATAAAATGTCAAGGTTCAGGTGAATTGCCCTGTAACATGACAGCTGAAAATGTCTAGTCATCTGATGATATGTTCAGATAGTTAGGTGCGCTTCGTAGCATGTGGCATATTCGGAGACAGAGCCGCTTATGACATTGTATTTCGTTATCGCTGTCGCCGTTCCATTGCTCTTATTTTTAGGACTTAATTTCAGTTGGGGTTTGTGTGTTTGCTGTGTCATATGAAGTGAAGAAGATTGTCGATTAAGCATTGCGGATTTAGCAGGTTGTATGTCGATAGATTCTAGCAACATTACATTAATCTGTGTTTGTTCCTACTGTAATTCATACCTTAACCTTCGAAGGTAACGACGATGTTGCTCTAGGCAGATCTGCATCTCTAGACATTAGGTCCACTCGGAAATGGCAATAATATAAAAAGGTAAATATAAATAAATATATGTAGGACGATAGTATTCGTATTGGTAGTACGGGATACCATATCAAATATCGTTGTAAATTTCATTTCATAGCATGGTCCTTCGAGCTTCTTAGACATGAATATTTGATTGCATTATAATGATTATCACTTATAGACACAAAATCCAAATATATCCTGGGTTGAAAGGTGTTGCTCACGTGCTTTGAAGTTCTGCTAAAATTTATCTTCAGAATTTGCCTTAGACCAAAATTAATTTTTTAATTTTATACAAATTTATGTCAACATTTTAATGTTAGCTTTATTTCATTTCTATATATAATTTCGCGACAAACGTTATCGGTTTGACAAAATCAAATTCATTGATGAGTTTTGTGACGTCATGCGATAAGTGATAAAATTATCAATTGAGATGGATTTTTGTTTTATGGCTATCTGTTGCTTTTTGACGATATGGTCATAAATAAAACAACAACAATAGTGACGACATATGTGAGCGTATCGTCGGTGTATTTTTGGAGATAACCTTGTCAATATTTAATGACTTATTTCATAGCATTTAATCAATTGAGTATGGAGACAATGGCTATCTGTTTAATTATTCGGCAAACATCAAATCGATGTAGAAGGTGCAATGCGAGACGAGTCTCTTGAAAATGGATATCGAAAAAAGGAAACAATAAAGAGCATTACAATTTCAATATATCAAAGAAAGAAAGAACAACAACAGAAGTTGTTGAGAGAAATTCTATTGAATATTTCTAAGAATTTTCTTAATCCTTAAAACCATTACTGCAGGGTTTTTGTTTGTTTTGCCAGAGGAAATGTTGTTGTACACATTTTTTTAAGGACACACATGTTATTTGCTCTTTCTTCTTTCTCTTCTTTTTCCACTGAAATAACACCCTCTTCCTATTTAATAGTGTCTTAGATAACATTACATGAAAATAATAGAGAAAGAAATATCACGTGACGAATTTATGAGGTTGTGGTTACAATTTGTTATGTTATTTAATTAGCAGGTGTTTTCAATTATTTATTTTCTACTTTTCTGTCTAAAAAGATTTTCACACAAAAATAACAAGTAAAGAACAAAATAATGGTTAGTTCGTCATGAATTTTTAACTCTTATTATTCTGAAATTGTAGAACATGATCAACATGTACTCGCAAATTGAAAAGCGTGAAAAATTGCAATAGAAAACATTTTTGTGTAGATTCAAACCTCAACATCAACGTTCGATCGATTAAACATATGAAATGACTAATTACATTTTTCACTTTCGAATTTTTGTTGAATATAGTACATGACATAATCTTACATCGACGTTGGCCAAATGTTCGTTGTTAAAAGTCGAGATTCGTGTTTTACTAATTTCAAAACAAGATCGAAATGTCCATATTTGATTGAATTCCACCTCATAATATAATATGAATCAGGTATGAAAAGTAATACAGGAAATTCTAAAAAGTGCTCGATTTCCTTGGAAGTATCGAAGAGATGGTTTGTTTTCTTTGTGCAAACCTTTCATACCAAATAATTTCAAATATTATCCCAAAGAGATGGATATGACGTTCCTTGTGCTGTGGGAAGGACATTTTTTACCATATAGAGAGTGACAATCCAAAAACATTTATATGTCCTAGTCGTATAAGTGGGCAAGAGTAAAATCCTTTTTAATGGAAAGACCAGCTTTGATATAAAAGCAAATTTGATGCCAAAAAAGATTAGGGCTATTTCGTCTGTAATGAGGTCCACTTATTTGAAAATGTTATCTATTTACTGAACTGGAATTATAAATTTCTATTCTGTTGGTAATCAATTTTGGTTCACCATTTGGTTTCGAAGTCCTAAAAAAGTCTGTTGGTAATCAATTTTGCTTCACCATTGGGTTTCGACGCCCTCAAAAAGTTATTGCAAACCATAGTCTCGCCTGAAAGGGTGCCATATTGAAGTTAGTGATAAGAAGAACAAACAATTTCATTTGTTTTACATTTGGCGATCACAGGAAAGTAGGAGTAGGCCTGGACCACCTCTTAGGCGAAAAAATAACGCCTAATCAATTTACTGAAGTCTTTAGCTGCCTTGTACATAGCTGATTTAGCTGCCTTGTACATAGCTGCACTTGGGATTTATCTGCCCAAACTTCACTTCTTTGGTACTTTTTCTCAAAATCCTAATTAAATATTTAGCTTAAGCACACAAATTATATCTGTAGATTTAAAATAACAGCTCAGAATAATTGTACTTATGACCTCCAACTAATTAAATTTTTTGCACTTTAGTTGCACAGGGAATATCAAATAAAAACAGTCCTCTAATCTTACCTTTAGAACAATAGTCCCTGATTTTCAATACTAGATACATAGCATTGATCGCGTATTCCAAAAAATTTAACATTGCCCACTTTTTATGCAGAAATTTGAGTTTCGTGGGCGCAGGTAAAAGATTTAAGATATCTGCCCTATTGATTTTCCTGCACAGAAATATTTGCAAGTGTTGTTTGTGCAGGTAAGTCAAAACTACTGTAGTAAAAATTGATCATAGATGATTTTTCTCATGGTTAATATATTAAATATTGAAATTTAGTTTCCCAAATTCGACTTTTCACAACCGAATTTCGAATTTCTTTAAACAATTTTGATTTACTGCACTCAAAGTCGGCTTAAGCATCCCTAATCTGTTTTTTCAGTG